GACGGATGACAAAGTCGTGGTGGGGGACCTCCTTGCATATATCACCGAGGTGGCCCACGAGTTTCGCACGCAGCGGTACGACGAGAACAACGCACCGCTCCCTTATGTCTGCGTCCAAGTTGGACAAGCGTCCTGCAGCGCTTTGCTGGATAGCGGTGCGACTCGCAATTTTATGAGCCAGTCCTTTATACAAAGGGCTGGCCTTGGTGCACAAGTTTGAAGGAAGTCACATCGTACGGCAATCAAGATGGCGGACGGTCGGACGCAACAAGTTCTTGATCGTTACATCGAAGCCGTGCTGGTTTATTTTGCAGCACATGCATGCGAGCCGGTTACGTTTGACGTCTTGGACACAGACTTCGACATTATTTTGGGGATGCCTTGGCTCGCAAGTGCGGACCACACGGTCACTTCCATCAGCGGATACTTACCGTCCGCGACGCCTTTGGCGCCGAGGTGCCGTGAACCATTCCTCTTTCGTACCCTTCGATCCAGTGCCAAGTTGTGACGGCCAAGTCTTTTCGGGCCACTTGTGCTTACGAGCGGATTGACAAGATCGGCCTTTGTTTTCTTAGGACCGTCGCTGCGACCGAATCTTCACCTACGAACGTGTCTTCGAACACACGTGTGGTGCGGTTGCTTGAAGAGTTCGTCGATGTCTTCGAGTCTCCTACCAGTGTGGTGCCGGATCGGACGATCTCCCATGAGATCATTCTTAACGTCGGTGTCGTGCCGCCGAAAGAATGCATCTATCGCATGAGCGAGGAAGAGCTCGCGGTTCTCCACGCGCAACTCGACGACTGTCAGTTCTCTTCGTATAGAAGAAGAACAAGGATCTTTGCTTGTGCATTGACAATCGCAAGCTCAACGCGCAAATCGTCAAGAATGCGGGGCCTCTTCCTCGTATTGACGATCTTCTTGAGAGTTTGGGCGGCGCAAAGTATTTTTCCAAGTTGGACTTGAAGTCGGGCTATCATCAAATTTTGATACGTCCACAAGATCGCTACAAATCCGCATTGAAGACACGGTACGGGCATTTTGAGTGGATTGTCATGCCTTTTGGCCTCACCAATGCTCCATCGACTTTTCAAGCGACGATGACCAACGAGGTCCGCACGATGTTAGACCTATTTGTGCTGGTCTACTTGGACGACATTCTCGTCTATAGCCGAACCTTCAAGGACCATCTTGAGCACCTTCGACGTGTGCTGGAGACGCTCCGTCGCGCCAAGTACAAAGCCAACCACGACAAGTGTGAGTTCGTACCTCAAGAGTTGGAGTACTTGGGCCACTTTGTCACACTAGAGGGCATTAGTCCGTTATCGGACAAGATTCAAGTCGTCCAAGAGCGCCCGGAGCCGAAGAACATCACGGATGTCAGTTCGTTTTTTGGCCTAGCCGGCTACTATCAACTTCTTATCAAAGGCTATTTGAAGATCGAGGCTAATTTGACCAAGCGTCAATGCGAGGATTGACCGTTCGACTTTGACGATGATGCGCAAACTTCCTTTTTGGCCCTCAAAGGCACCGGAGTTGGCCGAGGTTCTTTACGCCGGTTGGATTCGTACCAAGGGTTACCCCAAGGAGATCGTTTGCGACCGCGACACTCAGTTCATGTCCGACTTTTGGTTGGCGCTCGTCAAACGATGGGGCTCATCTCTCAAGCCAAGTTCGGCTTGCCACCCACAAACCGATGGCCAAACGGAGAGGGTGCATCAAACCGCACAGGTTCTTCTTCGCACTCTCATCAGCCCCGACGAAAAGGATTGGGTTGATCGGCTGTCGGACGTCGAGTTGGCTTACAACTCGTCCATTCGTCCGACTATCGGGATGTCACCCTTTGAGGTCGAGCATGGCTCGTCAGTCACATCGCTGTTGGATACGATCATCCCACGGACGACGGAGAGCGACGACCACCTTATCTTCATTCGGTGGATGCAAGAACTCCTTGTCAAGGCACGCGACCAGATGTCGAAGACGCAGCAACGCATGAGCCATCAGGCCAATCGTCAGCGTCTTCCTTGTGTTCCGCAGCGGCGACCTTGTTTGGGTCTCCGCCGTGGAATTAGCCTCGAACAAGATATCTCTCGCAATCTCCTTTCGAAATGGATGGGGCCTTGCCGCATTGTAGTCCCCGCTGGTGACGCACCCGAAGGGCCATCATTTGTCATTCAGGCGCCCGCCCACTTGCCCGTCTACCCGGTTTTTCATTGTTCAAAGTTGGCTCTTTTCGTTTCGGCGGAATGCGACGACTTTCCCGGGCGACGATCGCAAGACCTACCCTCCATGGACGATTTTCAGGAGGTTAGCGACATCATTTTGCAGCTGCGCTACGACACCAAGCCGACGGAGTACTTAGGACACTTTTCCGATTGTAGCCCCGATGTCCACGCATGTTATGAACGCAAACAACAAGGCAAGCCGGCACCTTCGGCTCCACGTCGTACTCGCGTCCAGGTTCCACCATCGGATAGTCAGCTTTGCCCTCGACCCGGCTTGACTTCGTAAGGAAGTGGGGGCGGTTACATGCTGAGCCTGCACACGCGCCCCATTTCGGGGGGCCGATGGTTGCTGGGGGGGCCCAGGCGGCACGCCCTTCGGACATGCGCCCTGGAGGCCCACAGCCGGCCTTAGGGCTGCAGGATTCGATTTGAGGCAGCATTTATTTATTTATTTGCTGTCCTATTTTTGTCTGTTCTGGCGTCCTTTCGGACTTGCAGTTCTACGTTTGCAGGCAGGCCCTTGTGGGCCAGGTTCATGCTCGTCCAGTAGCGGACGTCCCTGCTGCATCAGCAGGGAGGGTCTGGACATCCGGTCGGGACCCAGACCAAGTAGGCCGTTCAGGCCAGGACCAGGGGCACACAGGCGAGGCCCAGTGCTACATATGGCTGGGCCAGGCCAGGGCAGACACACAGTTCGAGTAGCTCACTTCTTGGGCGACACGCTGCTGGAGCACCGCAACAGCGCTATGCTAGAGGTAGAGGTGTGGGTAGGGAGTGAGGCGGAGGCGACACCTGCGTCGACGGAGATCTTACCTGGGCGCCATAGCTGGTCTTCGCGCCAGCGCCCAGCAGCACAGAGAAGACACGCGGCGACAGTTAGTACATGGCGGCAGTTACCTGCAGGTGAGATAGCGAGGAGGATGACATTTCTTCTTCTTCTTGCTCTCGCCCTCCATCTCTCCTTCTTCCTCCTTCCCTCTTCTTCTTCTTCTTCTTCTTCTTCTTCTTCTTCTTCTTCTTTCACACAGAGAGAGAGAGAGAGAGAGAGAGAGAGAGAGAGAGA